CTCACTCTCACCCACACTCACTCTCACTCACACTCACTCTCACTCACTCTCACTCACACTCACTCACACTCACTCTCACTCTCACACTCACACTCACAGTCACACTCACTCACTCACCACCACCGCCGCCACCATCACCACGACTTCATCACCACCATCACCTCTCTGGACCCCAATGCGTCTAGATCTCTAGACTTTCTGCCTATAGACCTCACACACACACGCACACACACACACACTGTTTGGGGTCTCTTGCCAGAACAGTTATTTACATAATATCTACGCGTTTGCGGGGTTTGGGGGCCCACACAACGCAACGAACACGTTGCTCCATCACAACCTAGTGGCCGTTGGCTCCAGGTCAACCATGACGCAGCGAGGTACCTGGTTGGTGCAAGTTGCAAGCAACAAAAGCCATTCGTCTGACAAGGTAGGTCCTTTGCAATGGAGGTACCATTGTCATGTGGAACATGCATTGGCAAGAAGTTGCTCCTGTCTTTTACACTCTTTTGGCATCTGTTTGCCACAAGTGCTTTCTTGTTGCGCATACGCACGTTGTCCTCCATTACTCTACAGGAGCGAGCGATTTAAAAAACTATCGGGACCCTCAAAGATGTATATAAATAGAAGTTTGGTAGACTTAAACACAGTTTAAACACCGCATGTTTGTGCCAAAATGTCTAATCATCACAACTGAAAAAAAGCACCTCATTGCAATAGTTTTCCAAACATGACAGTGTCATGCGTCCATTTGGCTGCCAAGGTACATGTTTCCCGGCGCCAGTTTCGGAGAAGAACCTCATAACGCTGGAAGAACAAACAACAAAAACACGAGCAGTGCTCAGCTGCTGGCTGTGGAAGCAGCAATGGCAACAGCAACACGAACAGCGCCAATTTACAATGAAGATAAATATATCCTTGCAATGAAAACAAAAAGGACCTGGGCTCATATGTCTGCATACATGTGCATTGCAGGGCCCATAGGCTCCACCGGCCATTCAAGTTCACGAAGTCAGGTGCTTTGAATTCCTAAACGAGTTCCTCCAGGAAACGTGTTGAAAGCGTCATCTCCGCCACCGATCGTCTTATCAGAAGGCATTTGGCCATCAGGTTGGATGCCGTGCTCCAAGCAAAATAGTTCCCAGCACGCATTTCCAATCTGAACACCACCCTGCAGTCAGTCAGGGTATGCCAATGATGGCGGCGCCATCAGCAGCAAGCTATTCAGAAGGAAAACTTATAATAACTATTGCGCTTCCAGCGGCCCCACCCTGATAGGCGATTTGGAAGAAGGCAGGGTGCACGTATTAGCACAGCCGGACATGTGCGTTGCTACAACGTCCTGACACTTGGTCTGGCATCAAGTTTGGTATGTGTTCTGACACATCATCTATCATAAAGGCTTGGAAATGATGTGGAACGTGTTTCCGACGTTCTTGTTGCCATATGTTCTGACATTTGTCCTGCCATGAAGTCTGACATCTGTCCTGACATATCTGTCACGTATCTCGCACCAAACTAGCGCGATCTGACATGCGCTGTGACATATGGTTCCGCTTTGGTTCTGGCATGTGGTACAGTGACAGGCAAGGGCGAACATCGCGAGCGGCCCCTCCACCATCAAGGCTCCGCTTGGGGCTACGGCTACGTACCTTACCAGAACCTTTAACGGAGGAATCAGGGAGGCACAGCCTTTGCAACATGTTGCGTTGACAGCCAGGGTACTGCAACCTTGCTGCACGGAATCCCAGCTCGTGCTCACGACCAAAGAAGGGGCGCAGATTAGAGCCTCCCTGACCAGCAGGGCTGTTTCACTGGCGCGAAACACCAGGAGAAGAGGCCAGGGTCGGTCTTCTGGAGGATCACCGAGGTTGACCGCTCCAAGGTATTTAGCCAAATTGGCGACAACCTGCGCCGTATCACTGTACTCCGGCTTATCTCGGCAGGCGGCCAGGATCTGTTGGGACAGATACGGGCCGACCTGCTCGCTCCAACACACGGGTTGTCGGCGGGGCGTTCATCACGGGGCAACTTGGCGTTGCGCATCCACTGAGTCCACTTTTGGCCCAAAGTCTCTTGTGCACACCTTTGGCGAAAACCACCACGGTACGCCTGGCTGCATCTGACGACTGGCGGTGGGCAACAGAGCCAGTCTTCCGGCTGCCTCAGCCATACGGGTATCCACACGGTCGAGGTCCACTGCTTTGGCGTTCTTGATTTTAGCATCGCTTGCAGTGCTCACGGACATTGCAACAAGAAACGGAGGGACATGAAAAGTACGGTCATGCGGCGGGCTGCCGTGGGTACACATGATGTTTGAGCCGATGTAAGGAGAAAGCGTGTCTTTGATGGAAAAGGGCGGAACACAACAGGCATTGAATGGGGAGGTCCATATCCTTAACCGGGTGTTCATGGTTCATATGCATGCGAACACTGTCTTTGCCTGGGAAGTGGGCGGCGCAAACGCAACAAGTAAAGGGGAAGCTCCGGCGGCACGCAGGGGGACATGTTGGGTATAACCGGCTTCGAGTTCAAAGGAACGTGGGCGGTCTCGGTAAGTTCCAGAACGATGTTTGCGAGTCACATGATTTGAGAGGGACTGTTTGGAATCGAAACGTCGGCCACAAGTCGGGAAGGGACATTCGAAGTCACCAGAACCTTGTGGGAGGTCACGCGGGGCCCAGTATCTAGAAGTAGCTCTAGAGGATTCAATTCCCTGTGGAGGGTCTGAGGGTATACCGGAGGCAGGAAAAATGCAGCCGGCCGCATTTGTTGTTCCAAGAGTCACGTTCCTTTTGTCAAAGGCGGTGGCGGGGAATGCTCAAGGGGGTGACGTTTGCGAAAGGATGTACATCTGTTGCGCGGTGCAAACGGCGTCAAGAAAATATTGCAAGTCAACAGCGTTGAGCAACAGGTTATTCCATTCATCGTGAGTTTCCAAAAGAGAGGACATCAGCCCAGTCGGGTCAAAATCACACCAGGCAGGGCCGAAAAGTTCCTGGGCAGCAGTGGCCAAGGTTTCCCAAGGATGACCTGCTGAATTCAGATGCCTTTCCCAGGCAAGAAAGCCTGACTGACTAGTAGTAAAAGAAGACAAGGTGTGGGAGGCACCTTCGAGATCGGCAGTGTGTTTGTTTTGAGGGGGCACCAAGGGGCGGTTACATAGACGCTGTCTCTCAGCCGTGCGGTCTGGGGGTTGCCTAAGACCACTTGGCTGAACCGGGGTAAACCAGAGAGCCACTGAGCGGGTTTTAAGGCGCCAGGCGCGGCCATTATCTTCCTGAGCCAAAGCCAACCAACTAGACAGCGGAACAGCAATGACCTTAAGACTATCTGCTCATAGCATGGGCGCCGCGGAATCCCAACTGATTCAGAAACGAAAGCAAAAAGAGCTTGTTTGGGAATACGATCATTAGGGAGGCGCGCGACATGCCCTAACCAACGCAACCGTTGCTGATGTAATATATAAGTCCTCAATCGTGGGGACGCCCAAAAAGGCCAGAATATTGGTGATGGAAAGCTGTTGTTGAAGCCAGCGATTTAAGTGACAGATTTTGCGTAAACATACGAACGGAGGGCGCGTTTCATCGGATAGGTAACCGACAGACAACACACAGGAGCGATACACACCGAGTTTGGTTTTCAGCCTTAATGGGGAGACATCCCAAACCGAGGAGGTGAGTTTCCAGAAAGCCTTACGAGCCTGATCGAGACGGTGAACAATTTCAGGAACACACGAGAGCTGCCAGTCAATATGACTTCCAAGATATTTGAAGGCGTCGGTGAAATGGACAGGACGGTCGGTAGAAGGGGATATCTCAAGCGGGCCGGAACGATGGACTAACGTAACCAGGGCTTCGGTTTTAAGCGGGGAGAGCAAGGTCATCAGCGTAGCCGAGTTCCTGCGTCCGACCCGGGCGTTAAAATCACCAAGAATGAAAATCTCCTCAGTCGCAGGAATAGAACCCAACATATGATTGAGTTGGTCGTAAAACTGGTCTTTCAAGTATGCCTCAGTACTATAAGTAGGGGCGTAAACGGAAATTACATTGACAAGACAATCAAGAGTTTGATGCGCATTAGGCGACTATTGCGGAATTCGCACAACTGGTCTGCATCCGTCCAAGTCTTTTCCATAGAAGAATCTAGGACGATTCCAACGCCTTGCTCAGCAACCCGAGCATGCAGGGGAACACCTGAAAACAAGATAACACTACTCGGAAGAACTACCTTACCTTCTCCTCGCCAGCGATGTTCGGAAATGCAACGCAGAGATATGTCAGCCTTACGGAGAACTTCACAGAACACCGAGGGTTTCTCCGGTGAAGAACACCATCTTCCCCAACCCGAACAACCGAGTGAAACGTACGAACATTCCACATACCCCAGTTAACCCCCACACATCGATGCTTCCACGGACGCGGTTTGCTCAGGCCGTGTACGGCCTTCACAGGTGGCTGCGCGTTACCGTAGAAGCGGGTGGTGTCGGACGAGTTTACGCGGTCCTGCACTAGGGTGTAACCTCCAAACGGCTAGTGAGGCCGAGAGGAAGGCAGCCGGGCATAGGCAGCCGGGCATAGGTTGCCGAGCCTCCGAGGAGGACTCAGCCCTGCTCCTAATCCGGTCAACCAACCCTGCGTCCTCCGTTAGTCCTGCGTACAAGGGTTAGGGTAAACAAACCAAAGACGGACAAGGAGCAAAAGAACAAAGGTTTCCCCAAACCTAGACCCAAAATCAGATATGGAGAAGTCAAACCAAGTGCAGGTTTACCGCTGGCCATGCGGGCCGGATGGTACTAAAGGACCAAGGTCACAGTAAGTCAGTCCTATGAGCAGCCCTTCGTGGAGGTGGAGGTACGGCTTTGGCCAGCATATCTTCTGGCATCTATCTGGCATATCTTCTGACATTCAATCTGGTAACTTCTAGCGTATTTCTTGATATGTCTATCTGGCACGTGTTCTGACTTTCTTTCTGGCTGTGACATGAGGCGCAGAAGGAGGAGGAGGATCAGGATGAGGAAGAGGATGAGGAGTGGCACCGTTGTTAAAGTCTAAAGGCCCTCCTGGCAGGTTGGGAAAAAGGATATCTAACACGTGGACGCTGAATCAAGTGTCGACAAACAACAAGAAAAAGGTACAGTACTCAGTTTCCCAAAGGTTCAAAAAGCACATGCATATACAAGCACATGCGCCCTCCAGACTGCTCATGGGAATTCCATGGGCTGGCTTGTCGGAAAACCCTGTCAGAAGGGCTGTGAGCAAAACTAATCGGTGACACCTTGTTGTTTTCCATTAGCGAAAACTGCTGGTCGTACAGTTCTTGAGATGCAAACGTTTCCAAACTTGCGCAACACACCGCAAGCCCAAGAAAGTCCTAAAATGGTCCTAAAAAGTGCAGGTAGACGTTCCATGCAAGAAAAAAACCGGCAACGGGCCAGTTGTGCTATGCTGTAATAATATGTAAAAATACACCACTAGGACAAAAGCGTTTATTCTTTTTGGTTCCAAATTGATAACGTCGAATCCTGCAAGGCGCTTATGTCACCTCACACGGTCGAATTACCTCCCTCCAATGCTGCTTAGTTTACTCATTTAAAAGATGGTGATCGTTGACCCTCCCACTGGCCACCCGAAATGGACTTCTTCAGTCGACCGCAGCTGATCCACTTAGACGTTACAATCATAAGACCCGGTACAAAGAACAAAACTGTCGTCCTTGTGAAGTATGAGTATGTACGCTATGTGGAGCGGGCTTCTACTGAGTGACACTTTGTGCAGCCTTCTGTGTTGTGTTGTGGCAGTCTCGCTCAGTCCCGAAGGCTACCGTTACACGTTGGCGCATCCACGCCTGGCCAATGTGAATGCAAATGGCCTCACGCATGGCTGAGAGAAGGACGCGAAAATATGCGGAAAGGTGTCAGAAGCACACCGCGTGATGTGGCAGCGCCTCGGGCACAAATCCTTGAGCCAATTCATGGTCACGGGGCAGTGCACCGTCGTCATTCACGGGGGCCGTCGTTAGAAAACGGCGGCAGTTGTCACGAATCATTATGAGGTGATCATTCCGAAGATCAATCCGTAAACGCACGAGTATGTCAATGTACTGTTCCTGCTGATATGGCTAGGAGACCACCAGCTCTACATATCTGGAACAAAAACATCATATTCCAACATCCCGGTCATAAACTGCTTGGGTAGAATCATTCTGCTTTCTTGTCTCGAGAAAATGATCGCCCAGCAGACATAGTCACCATCGTAGTGGTCCAGCCGGAGGCCGTGAGGGTGCATGTTCCGCGTGTACAACACCCGTGGGCACACATCATGAGATCTTTTTTGTATACTTGCCCTGGTGAAACACAACTGCATCATCTGATACAAAAAAATAGATCCGTTGCCGAGCTTTACAGTAAGCGGGTTTGCTACGTGGCCACTAGTCTCTGACAACAGATAATCAGATAGTCCCTCCAAACATGACATAGGAAAGCGATGAATCTCCCTGGAAAACCATCTCCCCTGGCAGAGTTTCCAACCGCCAAGTTTCCAGTTAAAAACCAATCGTGCAAAACAAAAATAAAAAACTATGTGGGCGCCGTCTGAAGATCAGTCACAACTTGTGGCCTGAGGTCGGGGGTTGTAAGAATACACAATTATACAATTTTTACAATTTGTGGAATCGGGTAAGGCACTCTTTCCCTGTGGGTCAGAGCGCCATGTCAAAACATGACGGCCAAATCTTGGACAATCTATCTGCACCCAAATAGGAAGAAAGGCAAACCTACTAAGTGGGCATCACCATCTTATGGCCCATGAAATTGCCTCGACGTCTTCCCAAGGGATGCAGAACACCTCCAGTGTTGGGTGTACCTTTGATATTCACAACCCCATCACAAGAAGGATCGAAAAAACAAATAGACAGAGTCATCCTTCTGTGCATCTGTCCGAACTCCCCACTTCAACTGTCAGATCTTCACCCGACTTGAACGATCTCTGTTCTGAGGCTGAGCACATCATGGCCGAGACGTTGCCGATCTCAAAGGCCTTTGAAGGCGTTGAAGGGGGGGTGGCTGATCGTGGCTAAACGAGGCGATCGATGCGACCAGAATAGAAGTCTAGAGATCTAGACGCATTGGGGTCCAGAGAGGTGATGGTGGTGATGAGGGTGGAGATCGTGGTGATGGTGGCGGAGGTGGCGAGTGTGACTATGAGTGTGAGTGTGAGTGTGAGCGAGAGCGAGAGTGAGCGTGAGAGTGAGAGTGAGAGTGTGAGTGAGTGTGAGTGAGTGTGAGCGAGTGCGAGTGAGAGAGTGAGAGGGTGAGAGAGTGAGAGGGTGAGAGAGTGAGTGTGTGAGTGTGTGGGTGTGTGTGTGAGAGTGTGTGGGAGATCACAACTGATTCAGCTCTTGCGAGCCTTTATATAAGTGTGTGAGTGAGAGATAGTGAGCGTGAGAGTGAGTGAGAGAGCGTGAGTGAGTGAGAGTGAGTGTGAGTGCGACTGAGTGAGTCTGAGTGCGAGTGTGAGTGCGCGTGTGTGAGTGCGCGTGTGTGAGAGCGAGAGGAGGGCACAAAAGTGCGCCTGCCACGAAATCTGCACTTCGAGGCTCACAAAGTGCTGCGCCTGCCACGAAGTCTGCACTTCAAGGTTCACAAAGTGCTGTACTTGCTACCAAATCACACTCCTCTCCAGTAAGCCGGGCCACAGAGACCAGCCACAGAGTTCAGGGGCGCGGCCAAGACAAGGACAAGAGGAGGACAAGACCCGGACACAGAGCCGGGCCACAGAGCCCAGCCACAGAGTTCAGGGGCGCGGCCGAGACAAGGGCAAGAGAAGGACAAGAAGAGGACAAGGCCCAGCCACAGAGCCCTGGACACAGAGCCCAGGAAGACAAGGCCTGGACACAGAGCCCAGCCACAGAGTTCAGGGGCGCGGCCAGTTAGTGTGGCCAACTTTTTTTCTAAGATAGAACCCCAACAGTAAACTGTTTGTGGAATAATTCTTTAAAGCTGGTTTCACCGGCTCTGCTTGGCGCATAGCCCTGGATCCGCCTGCGTTTGGGGCAAGCCCTCTCAATGTTTGAGGGTGATGCAGCGGCGTATATGGCGTCTGATTGGCCAAGCGTTAGTTGAAGTTCAATGTAGTGGTCTGTAGCGGGAAGCAGTCGAATCAAAGATTGGTCCAGGCTGTGGTTGCCTCAATCAGGCAACCTTTGCCAAGCTTCACCCACAGAAGAAGCCAAACGCCATCAGGGTCAAGGTGCAAGCAGTAAGCCAGGCTGGGTCCACGGCCTTCAACGTTGATACCAGTCCAGGAATATTAAGGGCGCAGCACCCAGATCGGGCGTTTCACATGTTGCCGTTGCGAGAGCGTATGGCGCTGTCCTTCGAAGCAGTCCCGCCAGGTCCAAGAGCGAACCCCACAGGGCTGTCCTCAAGCGCTGCGCGCAAGCCCCTCAAATAGAGATTTGAGCGCCCCCGCTAGCATGTATTTTTTTGGTTGAGCAGCTGCGTGATCTTTGACAAGTTCGATCAAAGAGGCCACATATTCTCCTTGAGCCTCTTGAGGTTTGCGAACCCGCCGTGGCTGGGTCTGATTTTGGTGGGCGTGGCCTCTGCAAGGCCCTCCTCCCCATTCGTGGCCTTGCCAATCAAACCATGGAGATGCGGTCAAGCCAAACGGTTATGTCGCGCAGCTGGCGCCATTGCATGTTTGGTAGCCTCTGAAAAAGAAAGCTCGGTCTGGCCGGAGCAGGGCGAAGGGTTGTAAGCCAAGGTGGAGGCGACAATGCCAGTGTCTCGCGCAGAATCTCTCCCACAAAAGCGGGCAAAGGGCCTCGGAGTGCAGATTGGCAGGCGCAGCACTTTGTGCTCTCAGATGCTCTCACCCTCACTCTCACTCACTCACACACGCTACTCTTCACTCACACTCACTCTGACACTTGTATTCAGTGACTCAATTACCACGATGGGAAGGATGGCGATGGAACAGCAAGGCGCACGAGTCGGCCAAAACAGTATTGTTTAAAAAAGTGTTTCCACAGGTGCAAGTCTGCAGAACGATCTGTCGGCGCTGCTCAGCAGGAAAGCGGCTGCAGGGCTGTGGGGGGGAAAAGTTTGGGGGAAAAAATCGTGGGATCACCATGAATCAAACCGTGCGGATTGGACAGCGTGAGCAACAGTTTCTTAGCAGGTACACGGTCAGACGTCTCTGACCGCATCCCATGACATCACTAGCTTCGTTGGCCAGCGTCGTGATGTCATGCGCTGGCCCCCTGCCTGTAGAAGGTGGTTGAAAAAGGTAGTTGAAAAACGTGGAAGGAGTAGCGGTGGAAAACCCTTGGTCCAGGGGTGGACACACACAGGTCGCCGCATTCGGCGCTTTTTTCAAAAACCGGTGGCAGGCGTGGTGGTTGTGTCCTTTTTGGACATAGAGCTTCACGAGCTCAGCCGCAGCAGCTTCAGCGCTGGAGGGTGGAAATGTATATTTGCGAATGGTGTGAAGTCGTGATTGGAGGCCTGATAGAGCCAAGCGCTGGCTCCCGGCGGTTGTGGAATCCCTGATTTTCCAGGGTTGGGAAGGTTGCATGTAGGTGATGGTGCGTTGTGGGAGGTCGATGTTGAAACCGAGGAGATGAAAATCGTCCACCGGTTCGAGTTCCACTGGGTCGCCAAAGAAGTTGTGGTGGATGAGGGTTTGGATGGCCGGGTGGTGGAGGAAGTGTTCGTTGTGAACGATGAAACGGTTGTCAACATATCGATAGTACGTGAAGTGAAGGTCAGTGTGCTGAAGTAGATTGTTGTGGATCTGGTGCCAGGAATGCTCAATGAGGGTGATGGCTACGTTGCATAGGGCTGGAGAGAGCTGGGATCCAATCCCGGCCCTTCGGATTTGTTTGTAAGTATTGTTGCAAGCCCGGAAAATGCATGTGTTGAGGGCAAAAGCCACGATGGTGGTGATGTCGGATGTCTGGATGGTGCGTTGGGTAGGGTGTTTTCGATGGTGTCTGCCAATGTGTGAGTGGTGAAAAGGGTTGCCGGTAGCCTGGACATCCACCGTCAGGGTGTGTGTGGATTGCTGTTGTTGCCAGTGTTGGATGAGAGAGTGAACAGCATCGATGAGTCGGTGTTGTGGGACCGAGTTGAAGAAGCCGACGAGGTCATCGTTGGTAGCGTGCAATGAAATGTCTGGTGGGGTTTGGGTGAGGTAACTGTGAAAATGGCGCCAAAGTTGGGGAATGGACATTTGGCCGGGGTGTTGGGGGTAAAGATGTTGAAGGATAATGTCAAGCGCCCGGCTGGTGATGCGGAGTAGGTTGCCACTGAGTGACTGGAAATATGAGATAATGGTGCGGCCTTTCTGCCATTGCTTCTTCTCTTTGAGGTGAACGACTCCGTAAGGAATGTTGAAATCTTTGCGGAAGCCCCATTTGTAGCGGGTGCGCAGTATGGGAGGAGTTCATGGTCAGCATGGTGGAGTAATGTGTGTTGGCCGAGGTATTCTTGTAGTTGACGAAGCAGGCGGGCCGTGAAACGGGGTTGCTGCTTGAGGTGCATGTTGTGTAGGCGCCACTGGTGCTCAAGGAATGGCTGTAAGTGTTGGACAAGGGATGGTGGGAGTCCTTGTAGCTTGAGCCATTTTGTGTAGGCCGTCCGGAACGTGAGGAAATATCTGGCCTTGCTTGGGTAGTAGGTGCTATTCATGTTGGCGTTGAGAAAAATACTGAGATGTGTAGGAAGTTGGAGTTGATCAAGTGTGAGAATGTAGTGGCCGCTGATGGTGGGGGTGTCTGGATCCTGCAGGAGAGTACGGAGATGGCCACATGCGCAGGGGAGGTCTGCAGGGTCTGGCGGGGAGGGTTTCTTCCCATGTGCGGTGGTTGCGCAGGTGGGAACGGAGTGTTTTGTGTGCGGCTTCGCGTAGCCGGTGAGAGGGGAGGTGGAGGGGAATTGTCAGGTGCTTGTGCTGCTGAATGGTAGTTCGGAGCCATTGTTGGCAGTGCTTGGTGAAATCGTCATGGGCCAGAAATGGGACTGTGAGTGGAATATTTGGCTTGGGCGGCGTAAGGTTGCGGTAGAGCAGGGCTTTGTTGATGATGTGTAGAGCTCTGCTGCGGCCGGGTTCTTAAGGTTGGCGGCCATACGTCGGATGGCATAGACTTCGAGGTCAGTGTGGCGACCGCTTCGTAGCTGTTTGGCTGCTTCAAAGGAGGCTGCTGTGTGCTTGGTAAGGTTGCGGAGAAGTTGAAGGGCGTGATGCTTGGTGGAGGTGTAGAGGTGTGGTTCCCTGAGTGTATACTGGCGGTGCCGTAGGCGTCGAAAGAGTCGTTTGTGGGTGGTTAGTCTGGAGTAGAAATGGGCTCTGTGTTTGGTGAACTGCCAGCCTTGAGCTTTGAGCTTGAGGTGGTGGGAGATAAATGGCCAATTGAGTGTAGGCATCCAGTTGGCGATGTAGTGGTGTTCTTGAATCCAGGCTTGGTCGTATGTGTCGTGGGATGTGAGTTGGATGGTGGTGTAGTGGTGGATGTTGTTGTGTGAGTGCCAGTAGCGTAGTGAGAGTTCTGCCGAGATGGGAATGTTGTTCTGGAGTTGTTTGAGTTTGGCGCGGAACTTGATCTCGTTGGTCGGGGGTTCGACAGGCTCGGCCTTGGTGGTGGGAGGTGTCTCATCTTTCACCTCTATAGACTCTGTAGGGGTGCGATCCCAGTCTGGAGAGTCGTGGTCCATGGGGTAGTGATGAGGCGGAGAGGGAGACAGGTAGCGGCCCTTCGAGAGTTCAAATGGCTGCGGAAGAGATTAAGTGAGTGCTGGACTGTAAAATTGAAAATGCATGAGTGTTGTTTGGTGTGCGGGTTTTATCCTGAGCGGGACGTGAAGTGTGAGACAGAGCGTTGCCGGGGCTGCGTCAATGACGGCGTGTCAGCGGTCATGTGGTAGGTCGCTGAGGAATTGGAAGCCGTCCAGAGTGCTTGATGTAATTGTCCAAGATGGCCATGAGCGGCAGGGGATTGGTCTGGGGTTGTCTGATGTAGATGGGTTGTGTGATTC